CCAATATTGTATCAAACCGATAGTACTGTTACTAATATGAACAATGTAAACTTGCAGAGATAAGAAACATGTTTTGCTAAATCCACATATAAAAGTTCAATTTGTCTTCAATGTACAGTTATCTATGTAGTCCCAAGTATGATATTATTATATTTTTAGTTGACATCAGAGGGGCCAAAGTTTTTAACAATTTGTTTAATCACCGACGCTACCAGTGAAAAACTTGAGCCATTAAAAAAAAGAAAAAAGGTGACGTTGGGGCCGCTCCTAATAATTTGGTGACGTTGTATCTGTCAACTTTCATCTTGTTTTTCTTAAGGTTGTCTTCCTCTGGGTCGTTGTCTTTGTAAATCTAAAAAGTAAAACCCAGCTTTATGGGACAAAACTTTGAAAATAGATATCCTATAACAAATAATAATAAAGCATTTGTATAGGGCACATCCCTGCAGGTGGGGCCCCCCATAGTTTTGAGCAAAGAATACACCCGCCGTGATACTGCATGTCGTAAGAGGCGACTAAAGGAGCATAGGTCTGTTCACCCGAAAAGTGTTAGTTTGCGGAGGGCCAACTACCCGGCCCAGTAAAAAACGGAAAGTTGTAGAAACACGAACAAACACGCTTTATAATTTTTCCATCTTGGGAGACGGAAGAGCTTCTGTATCAACAGGAACAATGAAGGACAGCGGACAAAGCCGAAAGAACTCTTCTGACCCAAAACCTTCTCAGTCGAACAAGTCTCTCCGGATTGCGTCGTGGAATGTTCGCACCAAAAACATTGCAGGAAAGAGTTCTCAAGTAGTATAAGAGATGAAGAGATACAGGCTGCACTTCCTAGGAGTTAGCGAAACTCACTGGATATAGTCTGGACAGAAGCAGCTCTGCTCGGTGGAAAAATATTTTATTCTGGGAGGGAAGACAAGCACCATGCGGAGGGAGCAGGAATTATTTTGAGTAAGTATGCACAGAAGTCACTTACAGGATGGGAACCACAGGGAGAGAGGACATCATGGCTTCATTCACTATATGGAATAAGAAGATCAACATGAACATAATTAAGACCTACGCCCCAACAGATGAAGCCACGGATGAAGACAAGGATGCTTTTTACAGTCAGCCCCAGGGGGTCATCGACAAATTACCAAGGAAGGATGTCAACATCATAATGGGAGATGCCAATGTCAAGATCAGTCAAGACAGCGTAGGTTATAAGGGAATCAAGGGACAACATGGCTTGGGACAAATGAATGAGAACAGTGAACGATTTTGCAAATTTTTGTGTTTTCAACAGTTTTGTCATTGGAGGCTATGTTTTTTCCCCCCCACAAGAGGATCTACAAGGCTACATGAGATTCACTGGATGGAGGGACGGAGAATCAGATCGATCGTTTTTGAGGTTACTGAACACACAGTGCTACAAATGAAACAGACAGAGAGAGAGAGAGAGAGAGAGAGAGAGAGAGAGAGAGAGAGAGAGAGAGAATGAATGTGTTACGGAGCGGGTTGTCCCAGCCCGTGAGACATGTATTTACTTGGCATAATGTCCTGTCTTGTTGTGCGTTTGCGTGAGTGCACCTTTAAGTCTAACCTTTGTAACGTCTACTGCCATTGTTAACGACCAAGACAAATTTCTCCCTGCGAGATGAATAAAGATTGTCATTGTCATTGTATCTCCGTAGGTTCAGGTGTTGACTGGAAGATGTCCAAGTACAGAGAGGGGCAGACATTGAATCGGATCATCATCTGCTGTTAGCAAAACTCAAGCTTCGTCTAAAAAAGCACGGAACCAGAACAAGAACCATAGAGAACGAAGTTTCAAGTAAGTCTCTTAGATGGGCACAAGAAAGACGAGTTTCAACTGCAGTTGAGGAACAGATTTCAACTTCTGGCCGATCTAGGTGAGGAGGACATGGAGGTGGCGAAGCACTGGACTTTACTTCAACGCGCCAAGAAATACTTGGTGAGAATGTATTGGAGCACAAAGAATGGATGAGCAAATTTTTATTGGATTTGATTAGCACTATATTGAAAGCAGAGACAAATGCAAGTAGAACAAGGAGATCAAAAGCGGACGCATTGTAGAAGTACAAGACAACAGCTAAAGATGTAAAGAGACCATTAAAAAAAGACAAGAAGGAATTTATGAACAGGCTGGCAGAGAAGGCAGAGGGAGGCAGAGGCAGGCGGGAACATGCAAATCCTTTACCAGACTGCAAAGACTCTTTCTGGAAAATATGGGAAACCTGAAGTACCAGTAAAGGGCCAAGAGAGAAAAACCATTTTTGGAAAGGATCTCAGTCGAGACGATGGGTAGAGCATTTTAACAGTCTCATGAACAGACCACCACCAAGTAACCTGCCAAACATCCTGCCAGCAAGAAATGAGTTACCAATCTGCTGTGATGATCCATCAAAACAAGAGATTATCGATGCTATTAAGAAGCTGAACAACGGAAAAGTAGCCAGTCCTGATCAGATTCCACCTGAGGCCCTAAAAACAGATGCCAATGTGACAGTAGACCTCCTTCTCCAGTTGCTTACCAATATCTGGAATGAGAGCAAATTCCCACAGGATAGGAAAGAAGGACACCTTGTGAAACTTCCTAAAAAGGGAGGTCTCAGCAACTGCAGCAACTACAGAGGGATCACTCTTCTCTCAATACCAGGTTAGGTCTTCAACAGAATCATTCTGGAGAGAATCAAGTCCACAACGGATCCAAGACTTCGGGATGAACAGGCTGGTTTTCGGAAAAAATCGGTCAACCATCGACCAGATTGCCACGCTGAGGATCATTGCGGAATAGTCCCTGGAGTGGAACTCCCAGCTGATCGTCAACTTTCTTGACTATGAGAAGGCCTTTGACAGAATAGACTGAGCAACACTGTGGGAGATACTGAGACATCACGGAATCCTACAGACGTTGGTTACCTTATCAGGAGCATGTACGAAGGGACAAGTTGCAGGGTTATACATGATGGCCAGCTCACTGACAGCTTTGACATCAAGACCTGTGTGAGACTGGGATGTTTACTATCACCTTTCCTCTTTATCTTGACAATCGACAGGCTGATGAAGGAAACCACCAGAGGATACAGAAATAATGCTATACAGTGGACCCCAATGGACACAGTTGGACGACCTGGATTTTGCAGATGACTTGTCGCTTCTGTCACACACTCAGGAACAGATGCAAGCAAATTTAAACATCCTATCAGAGTCTGTTTGATTGAGGATCCACACCTGAAAGTCAAAAGTCCTAAGGATAAATGCAATACGAAAAAAGCACGTCACAGTAATGGGAAATGCACTGGAGGACGTCGAATCCTTCTGCTATCTTGATAGTATAATTGACAGAGAGGGAGGAACATTCACTGAAATAAAGGCCAGTATTGAAAGGCACATACTACATTTATTTCTTTGAACAAGATTTGGGGGACCAGGGATATCTCACTTTAAAAAAAGCTGAGGATGTTCAACTCAAATGTCAAGTCAGTCCTGTTGTATGAATGTGAGACATGGAACGCATCTCAGGCGTACATAAAGAGGATCCAGGTTTTTTTTGAACAAGTGCCAGAGGAAGCTACTGAGAATCAGATGAACAGACAAGCAATGATGATGATGATAGAGCACATCCCCGCTCGATAGCAAGCTCAATGCGCTTTATAATATATCATTACCCCAGGAGACCATCTCAGAAATATTCTCAGCTTCCCGGGAAGCATACAGTGCAAGCAGCTGATCAATCGCCCAAACACTAACAAACTGACAAGCTCTTTCCCTGTCTATAACCGAATACACATTCTCACTTGCGTGAAGTGAGAAAATTCTTGTGAAGTGCTTTTCCCAAGGACACAACGTCCGGCAAAGGGCGACCTTACGGTTGAGTGCTTAAATATCTTAATATTCTGAGAAGTCGCACATTCAGAAACAGCCTCCTCCTACAAATGTCTCAGCGCCTATGAAAACAGCAACTTGCACTGTATGCTTCCCAGGAAGTTAATAGTCTTTTAGCTTCTATTATTAACAAAAAAATACATTGTTACTGATTCCAGAAGAGCAATTTGGTTTACAATGTTAAACATACATAATTATAAATACATACAACCTAAATACATACGTATACATATTGACATAAACACGCAATTACACCAATATAGAACAATTTCACAATCATGCCATTGCTGGTCGCCATCTTGCAGCGCCCTATCAGGCCTGCGGAGTATTAGTGTAGATTGTAAAGCGCATTAGAGCTTGGTGATAAGCGGGAATTATGCGTTTTACAAATAAATATGACGACTATAATAATTATTACAATGCGTTTTTTCAGTTATGTTTGTGTCCCATTCTTGTAACCCATGCCGTTGTATTCGGAGACGTTGGAATATGCCCTCGGTCTATTAATAGAGAATAAGTTTTGTATGCAGACAGAGTTGCCTCGGAAACTTGGAACAAAAAGACCTGACCCCCCCCCCCCAAAAAAAAAGAAAAACCCCCCCCCCCCCCCCAAAAAAAAAAGAACATTTTTGCGTCTCTTTGTTTCTTACTTGTCGATAATGTCCTTCATTCATCATCACCAATGCCTTTCACTCCTGGCTGGGTATAGGCCTCATACAAGCTCCTTCCATTTATCTCTGTTCTGGGCCATCCCTCCAAGCTCGTCCAGAGTGAGCTTTATCTCTTTCATGTTCCTTTCCACACATCTCCCCCCATGTTTCCCTTGGCAACCCCCTACTTCGTGCTCCCTGTGGGTTCTACTATGTCCTTTGTTGCACATATTTATCTGTGTGACGCGGCAACATTTTGGAGTTGAGAAAAAGGAGAATTCGTTACATATCACCGCGTCAAGTGAATGCATCGAAAAACAGGATTTTCTTACTTCACTCTCATGATAATCAGCTGGTAAATATAGATGTGGAAAAAACCTGCCGATGACTCCGATTATCCACTCAGCTACGGGCGATATCTACCTGGCAATGTGTCTATAAAAAATTGTAACGTATGTCCTCGATTTTCAATGAACTACGTCGCAGGACTATGTGGCAAGCTATAAAACAAGAACAGGTTGTCGGATAAGGTTAACGTCAATTCAACACGCCCCCAAGTCAAGGTAAGACAACACGAATACTTGGTCTCTCTAGGTATTTAACATTCTTTAAAAAGCCTATTGGACAATTAAAATTTGAAACATCTTTCACTACTGCTTGTTAGTCCTTTTTGCTTTCTGGCTAATTCTGGCCATTTTACGGTAATACCACATCTCAAACGCGAATACTATTTTTTTTCTTTCTTTCTTTAATTAGTCCACGTCCCACGGCTAAAATATGTAAACGGGGAAGAGGTAGAACGTCACAATTTCATCCTTAAAGGTAGTGATCATTGACTGAGTGTAAGTAGTTGGTGCATTCGGCGGAATCCTGTTATTGTCTAATTTACTTCCTTTATATCTGGTTCTTAAATTATCACATCTGCCATTATCTGTGATGGTGCCCAGAGATATTTCAATTGATGTACTTTTGATGTTCTCCCCATCTGTGAACATTATGTCTGCTTTTCATTTTATTTTGTTTTATTTTGTTTCATTTTATTTCTTAAAATTATTTGTTTAAATTTCATATTATTTTATCTTTTTTTTAGAAAGTCTATTTCATTTAAATTCATTTTACTTTATTTTCTTTGTATTTTCATTTATTTTTATTTCATTTTAATTATAATCAACTGAATTTGATATGCTATTTGTTTGCTTAGCATGCTCGTCGTGACCTGCCCTACCGCTGTTCTCTTTTACTATTTGATTCATTTTAGAGACATTTTCGTTCCTGTGTAATTCATGTGTATCATTTGTGTATCTCTGGTCATTGGTGTTGTCATCTCCAGTAATGATTCCTGGAACGTCTTGAGATTCTGTAAAATAAATGACTTTTGTGTAGATGTTAAACAAGACAGGGAGAGAAGACACAAACTTGTCTTACTCCAATAGAAATTTCAGCATATTTTGAGAGTCTTTACTACCTGCTCTAACTGCTGCCTTCTGATGTCAGCTGAGATTTCCTTTGATTCTGATATTTTTTTTCAATCAATACCTATCTTCTCCAAATACTAAAACTTCCTATTATAGCGGATTCTGTCGACATCTTTTGAGTCATCAATAAAGCAGGTAAAGAGGTCATTTTGGACTTCTTTTTGTTGCACCATTGTGCATTGTGTTTTTACAGAGGATTTCTTCCTCTGGTGCCATTTTCAGACCTGGGGCCGAACAGTGAATCTCTAATTATTTCTTTGTCCATTTTGCCTTTGATTCCTGCCAAACTGACTTTGAACAATATTTTCATGACACATGGCTTTAGACTCAAGCTCCCGAATTCAGCTCATTTTGTAGCTTTTCCTTTTTGTTTCTTGGTATGATAATATAAACTCCTTGGAGTAGTTCTTCTGGTAAGTGTCTCTGGAGTCATAGATTTGGGTCGAAAACTTCTCTGTCAATGCCAAAGTATTGTAAGTTCAGAAGCATTTCTGATTTATTTTTCAAAGTAGATATTTTATGCCCCAAATGGAGGCGGGCTTCTGACACTTCCAGTTATATTAGGGCCAACTCGGGCAGAGAGGGACACCACGTCCCAGCAGAAAGACCGAGAAACTCGATAAATAAATAATATCTCTCTACACAGGAATAGAACTAGATCTACTACTACTACTACTACTACTACTACTACTACTACTACTACTACTACTACTACTACTACTACTACTACTACTACTACTACTACTACTACTACTACTACTACTACTGCATTATTATTATTATTATTATTATTATTATTATTATTATTATTATTATTGCTATTACTATTATTATTACTATTACTATTATTATTATCATTATTATTATTATTATTATTATTATTATTATTATTATTATTATTATTATAACTATCGTTATCATTATTCCTATTATTATTATTATTGCTAATATTATTGTTATTATTATTATTATTACCATCAACACTATTATTATTGCTCCTTAATTATTTATTATTAATATGAATATTATTATCAGTGCGTGTTATTATGACTATTTTCCAGATCATGGGTCTGGTTCGAGGCTTCTACTGTGGCGCAGCCTTGTTTATGGCGCTCCTAGGGCTTGTGTTCGTCTCTGTCGGGATCGCCACTCGCGGCTGGGCTGTACTCGAAAACATCATTCATGTTGGGCTCTGGAAAACAGATTACAACGGCCAATCTTTTGACACAGTCGACTTCTTTTTCGCAATTCACTGGAGTGTAGGTATGTTGTGCCGTGTGGGTGGGACATATCATAGAAAAAGACGTGAATCGTTTCATGGTGCGGGACGTCGATTGCGAAATGTCCATCGTCACGAACTTAGATAATACTCGTTCTCACTTTTTTTGCTGCTCATTATCATCTCGGTGGGTCGATAACAACCACACGTTTGTGATCATGTGTTCGGTTGGCATGTGGGTTGTTTAAAATTTAAAAAAAAAATATTTAAATTTTTTTTTTTTTTTTTTTTTTTTTTTACTAATAGGGAAAACCAGTGAGGGAGTTAGTAGGTGTGCAGCCCACGTTGGTTGTAGTCGTGTATTTTTTTAGTTAGATTCATGTGTTTCTTGGTACCGCATCGGCTGTTCTGCAATGTTCTGCACGCTCGTCAAAATAATACGTCCCAAAATAATACAATGGAAGAAACCGGCATTTTCCTACCGTGTTGGTGGGCAATTTTTTATCTATCCATTGTCTTTTGGCTTAACATCTTTTATGTCCATCTTAAAAACACATTTCTGTGTGGATTTTACTTTTTTTTTTTTAAAACACGTTTATTTGTTAAAGGCATAAAAATGTCAATATTCAGCTTCAAAGTTTTTTTTTTCGATTTGGAAATCACCAAACTTTGACGACCATTTTCTCACTAGATCTAGTTTTACCTCTGAAACCTAGTGATCCCCACCTCTTTCAAACCCAAATATCTCGTCTTTTGTTCAAGATAGATGGAAATATTTTCACTCAAAGCAAGATCATTATATACAAGCTTTAAGACGATACTAATATAGTTTAGATTTAGTAGAGTTTTTGTAGCACTCGCAACTGCTTTAGGTCATATGACTCATGAGTGCCAAGGGATGGATGCCAACAGAGAAGTTCAGAAGGGGAATCAGGCTTACTCTGCTCACCTCTCTTGCCTCAACAGCACAAAGTCTGCTTCGACTATCAAGACACCCCAGAAATAGCGGGTCACAAGAGTGTGACAAACATACCAAAGAAGTAGAGGAAAATTGACGATAGTAAGGATTAGGAAAGAAAAAGCAGCAGGTCCCAGTTTCAATTCAGGTACAGTTATGAGCATGGCATCGATGAATCAGCCCATTTACAATTCTACTGTGAATAAGAACATGTTAATGTCCCCCCTTTGTGAATGGCCTAAAGACACTTCAGTCAGTAGCACCAATAACTCCATACGCCAAAATTTGACGAGTGCCTGATTTCATCACGACGTGATTTTTAAATTTTTCAAAAAATCGGCCTTTTCCCTCAGATTCGCTGCGCGCCATCAGAGGATTGATGTGTACGACTGTGGCAAGCTCTGCTGTGGCCTTCATCAACCTCGTCGTCCTACAGAAGAGATTTGACAGTCAAGCCGTCCTAGTCATATTGGCACTATTGTTTAGTGCGTTTGCTAGCCTTTCAGGTAAGAATAGGAATCTCGATTATGGTGGTAGCGGTTGTGGCGGTGTTGGTGGTGGTGTTGGTGTTGGTGGTGGTGGTGGTGGTGGTGGTGGTGGTGGTTGTGGTAGTGGTACTGGTGGTGGTGGTGTTGAATTTTTATTGAAAGGCCTTGATCAAAGGCATACAAATTATGTAAATTAGCAGTTCCCTTAGAAACTCAAGCTTTGGAAGACATTGGCGGCCATTTTCTTCTTAAATTTATCTACATGTATATTATCACTATGGTACCTCCACCTTCTTCACTCGCAGATTTCTCTACTTCTGTTGAAGACACTTGTGTGTTTCTTTTTTCCAAAATAAGCAAAACAAACTCAAATAAACAAACTCTCAGAAGATACGAATGATAATTATATATGCCCACAAAGTGACGAGCGCTGATTCCACCGTGTCGTGACACTCTTTAAAAATAGAGTCTCTGTCAGCTTGGGATGGTTTGGAGACTTACTTTACTTTTTTCTTCTGCTTGTACCGATGGGTGTCGTGGGGAGATATACGCGTCTGTCTGCAGCAAGGTGAGTGGCCTGTAGGAGGGGCATCCCGTGAGCTCTGAGGGTGTTTGCTACAGATTCACTCCAGCATTTGAAGAAAAATGAAAAAAAAAAATCAAATTGTTAGACCAAGGCAAGGCGAATCTCTCGGTTTGGGGAATTTGTGTAGGCCATAACTCTGCTTCAAAACCACTCGGCTATATCATCTAAATGCTATGTTTTGTAGTCTCCCCTGGCACGTATCGTACTCAAATTGACATTCTCACCCCGTACCACGGTATATGCCACGAACAATTATTGTGTCATGACGCAGTGGAATCAAGCGCTCGTCCCAAAATATTAAAACCATCTTAAAGCGTGTTCGTTTATCTTGCATTTGGCGAAAAAATACCCTTCTATCTTGAATCGAAATAAAGTTATTTGCGATTGAAGGTGGTGAGAGTCGCCTGGTATGCGAGGTAAAGACTAGCAAGAAAACGGCCACCAAAGTTTGGTGACTTACAAAGCTTGAGAATCCTTGGGAACTGGTAAATTTACATTTTTCGTTGCTTTAATGAATGGTTTTACGGTAACATCTACCCAAGAAATGTATTTTTAAAAAGACATAAGAAGGTGTTGAACAAAAAATAGACAAATATTTTTAATAAACTTACCCACCGCACAGAAAAATGTGCTTTTCTTTGATTTCATTGTTTTGACATGCGTCTGATTTCACCACGTTGACATAAACACTTTCGAATATTATTTGCCTGAGAACACAACATATGTCACTGAATTCCTACCTAAATAGGATCCGCTAGGATACCCCTCCTGACTGCCCGCGGTATGACCACCAGGATGAAACAGTATCACACCACTTCTTTAGCTGCCCTGCACTTAGCAGTCTGAATGGTACCTACCTACCTGCCTCTCCAGACATCAGAAATACTCTATACAGTGACAAAACACAGCTGATAAAAACCTGTGAATTCTTCGCCAAATCAACTGGCCGAAAGGCTAGAACCCAGAAGGTCGCAGGATCGGAAAAGTGAAAGTAAACACTTTCGGCCTTCCCCTGTCCTGGGCTAGCCCAATGATAGTACATAACAAGATGGTTCACTCAGCCAAAAAAGTGTCCGCAGGAAGTATGCTCTTTGCTTCAGATGGCGCTGCGGTCTGTTTTGAAGCTCTCTTTCGTTTTTCCAGAAGAAGAATAGGAATAGCACCTCCTTGCGTGCGCAGATCGACTGCTGTTTATTAGCGGTTCAGTTTCGTTCAGTGCGGAGTTTTAGGGTTATTTTTTATTTTAATGACCTCTCGCCTTTCATTCTAAAGTCAAATTAAACGAAGAAAACCATCACCCTTTCCTCCGGAAAAGGTTTTTTGTCAGCGTAACCATTTAAAAAAAGCGTTCTTCCGAAATTTATCCCAAAACATGTTAGTTTCACTTTGATTTTTAAAAACTCAAGTAGGGTAACTCTGTTCGCAAAGTGCGCTTTTGTGAAGAGGGCGCCACCAAATTTTGAGGACACTTTTTTAATTGGCTCAAAGAGAGAAGTGGCCCATCTTGTTATGTACTATCATTGGCTAGCCTCTTGATATTATTCTATGTACACGGTAAGAACATTCCATCTTGCAATCCAGACAGACTTGTTTGATGGAGAAAGTTTCGAGTCAGAAGAGTCCTTTCGGCTTTGTCCACTGTCCTTCATTGGCGCTGAGACCTGGACTTTGACAAGGAAAGACGAAAACAAAATAGCTGCGTTTGAAATGTAGAATGGCCAGAATAAATTGGAAAAAAAAGACGAACGATGAGGTGTGTCAGATTCTCCACACAAGACAAACCCTGCTAAATAAAATGAAATTAAGGAAAATACAATACTATGACCACTTAGAAAGACACCAAACTATTGTGAAAGATGTACTGGAAGGAAGGGCGTGTTGTAGAAGAGCCAGAAGAAGGCAAAGAATACGTGGATGGACAACATTAAAACATGGACTGGCCTGGATATTGAAAAATATGCAACGGCAGCCCGCGAGCGTGAAGGATGGAGGGTCATTACACGTCAATCTCTGAGTCAGAGATGACACCTTCGTGTATTCCAGGTATGGTATGAACGTTCCACGATGCATTCAGGACGGAGGAGACAGTTTCGGGTCAGAAGAGTTCTTTCGGCTTTGTCCGCTGTCCCTCGATGGTCCTGCTGCTGTCTCCCAAGATCAAAATCGAAAAATTATACGTGTTTACTTGTGTTTTTATAACTGTTTCATTTCTACAGGGTCGGGTAGTTGGCCGTCCGCAAACTGTCACTTTTCGGAAGATCAGACCTGTGTTACCTCTAGGCGAGTCTCCTTTTACGACACGCAGTATCACTGCAGGTGTTATTCTTTGATTCCCCCCTCCTAGTAAAAGTATGCCCCCCCCCCACACACACACCTGTACATGCAGTATATCGTTATACAAGGTTTAAACATTGAAGCTAACTTATGTATGGCATCTTGGTAAAATCAAGCGCTCGTCAAAATAATCAAAGAAGCCAGCAGTTTTGGCCGTTGGACAATTTTTTTTTCGATTATCCTTTTCTTGGCTCAACACCATTTATGTCCATTACAAACACATTCTGTTTGGACTTTTCTAGAAAATGTTGATCAAAGGCACAAAATATGTAAAGTTGAAGTTCCCAATGAAACAAAAGCTTTCGAAGTCACCAAAATTTGGCGGCAATGTTCTCGGCAGCGTTATCTCTAGAACCAGGCGACCTCATCTCCTTCAATGGCAAATATCCCGACTCTACTCAAGATACATTGATATTTTTTCTCACCGAAAGCAAGATAAATTAGTAAGCTTTAAGATGATACCAGGAACTCGAAATGCCCAACAATTGACGAGCGCCTGATTCCATCGCGTTTTGACACGAAAAAGAGATATTATATGTCTCTGTTGCGTCGAGGGCTTAGTGGTTAGGCTCATCATCATCCGATGCCTTGCCGACTGGCGTGGGCGATCATGGACCTCCACTTCACTCTGTCTTGCGTTGCAGCAATGGTGTCTGTTGTTCTTGTTGCTCCTAGCCATGTTGTCATCTTGTCCAGTATCTTTTCCCTTTGTCTGCCTCTGCCTCTCTTTCCATCAAAACCGGAGTCGAAATCGTGGGGTTGCGGGTTCGGGGGTTACAGCCACCGGCCCGACGTTGTGTCCTTAGGAAAGGCACTTTACACGAATTTTCTTCACTTCACATAGGTGGGAGTGGGTACCTGGCCATAGACAATAGACAGCGAAAGATCTTGTCAGTGTG